TCAGTCTCAGCTGACTGCAGGTTTCCCCAACCTTATAAACAGTACATTGCACAATGACTGAAACTAACATCACTGAATGAACGATGGGCTGGGAGATCAGTTCCTTGATCATTAATGTGCAAATTCTCATGACCATTGATCAACAACTGACCTCCCAGCCCATTGTTCAGTGGTGCTAGTTTCAATCATCGTGCACTCACCCACTGAAAACGCTACATCCAGATGATCAGAATCAACCTTTTGGGATGGTCTAGTGTGGTCTCAATGGAAGGGGTGGTTGTCAAGAAGACTTAAGCAAGGGAAACAGAAAAGGCTGGGATATGACAAATTACACAAGAACTGGAAACAGGTGTTATGGTATGATGAACCAAGATGAACCAGTGGTGTTGGGGATCTTGTCAAAATTGATGGTATTATGAACACAGAAATGTGCCGTCAAATTTTGGCTACTATGCAATACCATCTGGAAGGCATCTGAGCAGTTTAATTTTGTGACATGACAGTGATCCCGAAACACACTGCCAATTCAGTAAAAGCATACCTGGATAGAAAACACACACAAACCATGGAGCGGTCGGACCTCAACATTACTGGAGCAGTGTGGGATTATTTTGACAGCGAACAGAACAAAAGGCAGCCGACATCCAAAGAAGAGCTTTGAATGTCCTTTAAGAAGCCTGGAGAACTACTTCGGAAGACTACTTAAAGAGTTAATAGTTAACAAGACATGTAAATGATCAGTGAACTGGTATTTAACAGTGCAACTTTTGAACTTGCCAGGCTTTTTCTGGAGAAGACGCGCTCTGTAAAAGTACGAGAAACCCCTCTGTGTCTTTGAGCACGTTGACAAACGTTATAAACTCTTTGTCTGTGTCCCCAGGTCGTTCGGGCCAGGCGGTTGCAGTGCGAGCCAAGGTTTTCGGCTTCAACGTCATCTTCTACGACCCCTATCTGCAGGACGGCCTGGAGCGCTCGCTGGGCGTCCAGCGCGTCTACACCCTGCAGGACCTGCTCTACCAGAGCGACTGCGTCTCCCTGCACTGCAACCTGAACGAACACAACCATCACCTCATCAACGACTTCACCATCAAACAGGTGCATTACTCAAAACAAACGCAGACACGCGTCGCCCGCACACGTGTCACCCAGACAGAGCTGAACATCCCATTGAACAGCTGTGACCTGATGTGGGCTTAATGCGGTGCTATCTAGCAGGTAGACAAGTCGAGATGCTGGTATATTATTACTCTGTCAGCCTAGTGTCTGTCCTAAAGAGCATTATATCTGGCAGAAAGAGAAAGCAGGAAGAAAAAAAAAAAGGACTGGAAACAGCAGCATCCTTCCTGCCTGTACATTCCCTGCTCTTTATCTTAAGCTCCACCAAAGCTGGACACAAATTCATTCCTTTGCTCTGTCAAATGCAATTAGTGCCAGCCCACGGCTACAGCAAATATATCGACTAGGCTGCACAGTGTGAGGGGAAAGTGCTGCTCTCTGAGTCAATAACTGCACTCTGAGGCGCTGCCTGGGGTGACACCTGCAGGGCAGCTGAGGAACTGCACAAGCTGGGGACGCATCTCCCTTCTGTCAATATCACCCCGCACTGTGACACACTCTCTCTCTCTCTTTGTCTTGTCCCTCGCGCTCCATTCTTCCTGAGTTACAGTATGTGAGGAGATGAAGAGGAGTGGGTGTAGGGTAATAGCCTAACCCAGTTAACTCTGTCTTTTCCAAAGCACAAGATTCTCAGCTGCCTCTTAAGTGCCGCAATGAAAGAACACTTTTCTGTCTTTCCTCACCCAGAATTTGGCAGTGGCTCTTAGCGTTTAAAGTGGAAACGTGTGTGTGCATGTTTGTGTATTTTCTGTGTGTCAAAACCACCAAGGCCTAATAAAAGACTGCCTGCCAGCGTAAAGGCTTTTCATGCCCCTGGATTTCAGCTTTTGTCAACATTAAGGGATTACTTTCTTCTGAGCATATTCATTTGATTTTTTTTTTCCCTCCCTCATACACTTTTTGTTGTGCCTTATTTTTTCTCCCCCCGGTAAGCAGCAAGGGGTGGCGGCGCTACTTCATCTTTCAGCTCATCCCTCGTCCTTCATTTCATCTCCTTGGTTTGAACAAAGCCTGCTCTATATCCCACATCTGACAGCATTTGTCCCAGTTGCCTTTCTGTCTCCTAGATCTTTCAGGTGTCAGGTGAAACAGAGATGTCACCATTTTATTCCTTCTTCTTAATTTATGTCCTGTTTAATATGTCTTAAGACATATAATCCAGATTGATGCTCTCTTTTAGATCAAACACATTCATTTGCCTGCCAGGCTGGCATACACACAAAAGTCCATACATGAGCTGTAAAAAAGCTGGCTTCATCTGTGCCTTTCCTAGTGTTGACATGTTTGTGTTTGCATGCCTTTTGCACTACAGATGCGTCAGGGTGCATTCTTGGTCAATACTGCACGGGGAGGTCTGGTGGATGAGAAAGCTCTGGCCCAGGCGTTAAAGGAGGGAAGGATACGCGGAGCTGCCTTAGACGTCCATGAGACCGAGCCCTTCAGGTAAATGCACACATGTGCCAAATCCTGGACAAATATAGGCAAGCAAAGTGATGGGTGTGTAGGAAGGGAAAGACAAAGAGACAGAAAACCTTTAAGAGATAGACAAACAGGCAGGAACAATGGCAGATATAGTTATAATGAGATAAAAGAGAAATCATATGCTTCTAAAAGGATCCTTCAGGGCCCTGCGTGTAATAGAATTGAGGAGATGGAGAGCTGGATTTATTCTTGTCAGAGCAAGTTAAAAACATTTAAAGGTACAGGTTTGAGTTTGAAGAGAGGTGCAAAAAGAGGTGAATAATCTCCATTTTCTGGTATCCAAACACAACGATAACCCAAGAAAAGACCATATTTATATAGGATTATTAAAACAGACCTTCTTGGACATTTTTCCTTATGCTTTATTCGGGAGAAAGTGCCGGGGGCAAAGTGGTGAAAGGCCAAAACTTGGTGAAAAGGCATCAGTAAGTGTGTCATAACATGCAATCAGCTAATTAAGAGTGAAAGTGTACAGCTTAATTTGAAGTATAATCAATAAATCTATTTTTTAAATCTTATTTCTCCATTTTGGCAAATGAATGAATGAGTTACAAGTACTGCTGAATTGATTTAATAACTATTCAAATGACATCTTGACACTTGTTGCTTTTGTTGTCAATTATAAACAAATGAATTCAGTTAAGTACTGGTGATATGAATAATTGGAAAATCTGGTAACAGCTTCATCACGAATATTAAATTCATAGTACACTGTTTAAAAACTGCTGTTTTACACCATCAAAATCCCTGCTCAAAACTTAAACTCTACTGGTGACACTGGGTAACCAGTCTGAACTAATTGTAAATGAAGTAATTTCAGATTTATTCCCCAAAGCTCACCTGTTCCCCTAATGATTTGACACCATGTTTTAGCTTTGAGCTATGAACTGCTTTCATCAGAAGGCAAACAGCTTGGTACGCGTCCCACTTCTCCACCGTCCTAAGATCCGTGTTTTCCATCTCAGCGGGTAACTGGTGTTGTGTTGTTCACGCGTCAGGGGCAGTCAGAGAGTTTGGAGGCTGATTATTTCTGGACAGCTGCTCAGCTGAGTGGCTGCTCGAGAAGGCTGAAACTGAACCCGATGAATCTGCAGCTCATGCTCCGCTAACCCAGCATGTCAACGGGGGAGCGTTTCATAACTTTGGACCTCCGTCCCACGCGGCATGACACCGATTTCAGGACGCTGCTGACGCGTTGCAAAGCTTACACGCAGAGAACCAGGCTAGGTGTTACAAGGATGATGGAGGGGGAGGAGGGAGTTGATGCTGATCTGTTTTTGTGAGTCTCTTGAGAGGAAAGAGGCTGACAGAAAGGAAGTATCAAAGCAGCAGGAAGAAGATGGTGGCATCTGTGAATAACAGGATCTGACATTTTACCCCTCTGGCCATATTTCCAGACAACTGTCATGTAAACTGTACACAAATAGTTTTTAAAGGAAAAGAAATCGTTACAGTATCAGATGGTTTTGATATACAAGAATATGTTTTGTCATTGGCCTCAAAATAAAAATAATTAATTCTACGTTTGTATTTCTTTATAAGTTAATTAGTGAAGCCCTCCACAACATCCGGTACAGCCTGTTATTGATGTTTGTTTTAATATAATTCTGCCATCATGTGCTTGTTGGAGAAAATGTGCACACTGTATTAATTTGACTGTGTGCTGTAGTTTTGCTCAGGGCCCACTGAAAGATGCTCCAAACCTGATCTGCACACCACACACAGCCTGGTACAGCGAGCAGGCCTCACTGGAAATGAGGGAGGCCGCAGCTACCGAGATCCGAAGAGCCATCACCGGTAAGCCACCGCGTTTCAATTTTGTTGTCCAACATCCATCGAAACGAAACATCCACAGCTTCATTATGGAGGCCCACGCCTCGGTGCAGTCTCCCACGTGACCTGTTGCACATCTTTTCTTTCCCAGATGTCACATTTCCACTTCAATAGACCCTCGGCAGCCTTTATTAGATCTGGACCTCTTAATCGATGTCATCCTTAGCTTCACGACACAGAGCAGAGTGGCTCTCAGGGGCTGGCCTTGCCGCCACCCTGGCCACAAAAAAGAATTTTAAAAAACTGATTGTTAAATGGTCCTAATTTGCATTTGTGTATCTAAGCCTGATATGTTTGTCAGTCTGAACTCATTAACACTTTGCATAGCCTGGCCGCTCATGCCCTATCGTAGCCTTCGAGTGTGTCAGATTTATGCAGCTCTTTTAAACTGAACGCGTGTGCGCGTGTCTCGTGACAGGCCGTATCCCTGACAGCCTACGAAACTGCGTCAACAAGGAGTTCTTTGTCACTACGGCACCGTGGGCGGTCATGGATCAGCCAGGCGTTCACCCTGAGCATAATGGCGCTGCCTACAGGTAAGGACTGAAAATACAGCCATTATTTTCATTTTAAGAACAACAGTTTTATCACCTGTGAGCTACACTAAAGTATCATAAACTAGAGCAGTTTCCTTCATTTGCTCCACCTTTATACAGTTGTAAAAGATGTCTTGATAGATCGGTGGAGTTTTTATAGGTTAGCTCACCACTCCTGTAGAGCCTAGCATCTCATCCGCTAACGCTTCCCCTTAGCAGCAGAAATAAATTCTGTCCACATTATCCCACTCTTCGCCATTCTTGATCTCAGCATTTCCACCTCCATGTGCTTCTTTCACGCAGCCAAGTGAACCAAACTCTTCCAGGCGTAACAACCGGCATCCCCCAAGACAAAATTAATGCCTAGATCAGGACCAGGTAAATACGATCATCTGGGGCCAACAGCCTCCGGTTGGAGGTCCTGGATATAAGACCCGCTCACCTCCTGAGCTCACCTGATGTGTGTCCCTCCTGTAGTTCCCCTTCAGCACTTACCTGTTTGAATGAACACAGAGTAGAGATGGGTAGCAGTGAATGTGGGTTTTTGAGTGTCACAGAAAGCATGACATGAAACCATTGAGGTGCACTTCCATGGATGGAGTCATGCTTCGTGGTTTCCTTCTTATAGGTATTTGGGAATGTTCTTTCCAGCTATTTTCTCCTTCTCTGGTTGATGGATTTTACTGTGACTTCCACACCCATTTCCCCCCCTAACTAATGTGACATATTAGCTCTTTTCCACCAAACAGTCTCAGGAAGTCTGTGTTTCAGGAAGTATTAAGATAACTGCATAACTGCATTTTTTTTAAACAATAAAAGAAAATTGATGGGAAAGAAAAATATGTGGCTCATTGATAAATAGAACATGTGCTGCTTCTTTCATGAGAGGATTGTGTTTTCTCCTTTTTATATCAATTATGACCCAATCATCTTTAAATAAGGCACTAAAACTTTACGAGCTACGAGCAGATTATGTGCATTTATAGACCAAACAGTATCTTGCCTTTTTATTTTAATTACCATAATGAAACTGAAACAGTTTCATATTTAATCTAAGCTGAAGAAACAAATCAATGAGCACAAATATAAAAGTTTTATATTTGTAGCACTTTGGTCAAAATTGTTGGATGTAAAGTGCGTTATAAATAAAGATGCTATGCTATGCTATGAGCAAGGCAAGAAATACTTTCCAAATTATGTTGATTAATGTAATCCCTATAAACAGGAAGATCACCTGGAGAGTTCATGCTCCACCAATGCCCACGTCCTGTTTTAAGGAATGTGAAGTTTAATGGATTCTTCTTTACCTCCGCTCCCTCATTGCTTCTAGCTTTATGAAATTAAAGCCTGGTAGCTTCCGCAACCTGGTTCTGATCTTAGAGAAGTAATTAATGTCTTTTTTAAATAGTTTGATGTGTAAAATGTTAGTAAACAGCAAAAACTCTTTTTGTCTGGCCATCTGTTGAGTCTCCCTCTCTTTCCCCATCTTGCACCTGTTTCATGTTTAGACTAATCTGGCTGCATATTTTTCTGGACACATTAAAACAACAAGAAATTCCAATTTTATTCACATTAATTTGGACCTTTCTGAATCTGAAAATTCAGCCTGAAAGCTAAGTAACTCTTAAACACGTTCCTGAAAAGGTGGAAAAGAAGTAGCAGTTTCACTAGATGATGAGGTCTTTGCACAGAATCCTGTCTTTCACGGATGTACGTGGGGGTTAGGCTCGTGTCGGCACCACTAACCTCTGACCTTTTCCCTCCCCAGATACCCGCCAGGTGTGGTTGGAGTGGCTCCGGGCGGCATCCCAGGGGCTTTAGAGGGCATGGTGCCTGGTGGGGTGCCCATCGCCCACACCTTGCCCTCTGGTACACACCCCTCCCAGGCCCCATCGCCCAACCAGCCCTCTAAACACGGCGACACTAGAGAGCACCTCACCGAGCAATAGCAGCAGAAAGGATACATACGGCAGCATCTCATCCGGCCTGTTGACACTCAGAAACAACCAATCAAAGCAACTGACCAACTGGGACCAAGAGACAGTGAAACGACACAAGCGGCTGCCTGCTAAAAATCCAGCCAGCAACTGGGAACAAAAGAAGTGTTCCGGGAAATTTGTACTTTTAACCCTTTTAGTTTTTACTCTCTGTCTCTTTGGGTTCAGTTACCGACTTTACTCTTTGATGATGATGTATTTTTGTCTTTCTTTGGGACATGCCTATGATTGTGGACACAGAGTCCAGTGTTTTTAGTGCTCCGGGATTACCCGATGAGACTCTGTTCAGCTGCCCCCACCGTACCACCCACCTCAGAGCTCATGGGAAATGTAAGCCCACTTCTAAACACACCAACTGAACAAGAGAAAAAAAAAGAAAAGAAAGAAAAACCTTTGGCATCATACGTTACTGGATCGTATGACCCCTGACAGCGCTCCTAATCTTCCCCGCCTCTTCTTCACCCAGCTCCAATCCTCATTATGTAACAAGTGTGTGTTATTTAGGCCCCCAATTATGCCTCAGAAGAGAATTATTATTAATATTGTTTTTTTCTTTTTATCATCAGTGTGAATGACTAAAAAATGGATTATCAGCTTATATATATTTATCAAATTAAAGAAAAAGATTGTTCATCAATTATAGTAATCAAAAGTGGGCTTTAACCCTTTCCTGGCAGTGGTACATTTGACACCTGTCAAAGCTGGAGTTACAGCTTTTCACCACTAGAGGGCACTTGTACACAGTGTGAGAATTTTTGAGTTTTAAGTGTCTCCAACTTACTACTTTTTAAAGCAGTTGGTGATTAACACTAAAGCCATTCATTAAACACGTAATTGCAGCTGAAGCTTTTGAAAATAAAAGTTATTTTGTACTTTTAGTTCCTAAAAGCTCAGCGATGCATCCGGTTCTCTCCAGAGAAGCGTCTGATGGCTAACTAATCATAATGGCAGTCTTGTTAGACATGGTGACCCGGTCCCTTCTGTGAGCACATTTCGCACTGAAGACAGGAAAGGGTTAAATTCAGCATGGTTTCTTAATGACTCAGGAATAACACTTTTTTTTTTGCAGATATTGTTTCTCCTCCCGCCCCTCCGCCCCGCAAAATAATTGTCTATAAAAGGAAAAAAGAAAAAACAAAGACTGATCTGGTTCGTCTGAATATTGAGTATTTCTCTCCATCATCCTCTCCATCGTGGTATTTTTATAAAAAGGACACATTCCCACATTTTTTTGGTGTTAAAGAGTTTTGAGGAGTCCTGTTAGATTCGTATTGCCTAGTTAAATGTTCCTATAACCATAGTCCTATGTGATCCACCCTCTCTACCTGCTCCTTAATATTTCCTTTGTTCTAATGAAGGCCAGGTTCTTTGGGGCATCCTGTACTCTGTATGAGCAATAGCTGAAACTCCTATTTAGTGTCCCAACAATAGCAGAAGAGGCAGCCAGCAGTATGTTTTTGTTTTTAGTGTGAGTATTTGTATTTGTTTCTTGTACAAGGTGAACATTTAGCATTCAGTGCAGTTCAAATAAAAAAAGAAAGAAAAAAAAAAGATAAGAAAGATACGATTCTGAGAACCAGCCGTCTGTAC